GTGGATGTTGCCAAGGCGGCTGCGGACCTGGTGGATGTTGCCCAGGCGGCTGTGGCCCTGGTGGCTGCGGACCTGGTGGCTGCGGACCTGGTGGATGTTGCCCAGGCGGCTGCGGCGGCTGTGGCCCTGGTAGCTGCGGACCTGGTGGCTGCGGACCTGGTGGATGTTGCCCAGGCGGCTGCGGGCCATGTGGCTGTTGCCCTGGAAGCTGTGGCTGTGGTGGCTGTGGTCCTGGTCCTTGCGGCCCTTGTGGTGGGCCATGCCGACCTCATGGCCAAGAGGGTGACTGGGACTGGGGCGGTGCCTGGGATGATGGGCAATGGAGCTCCTGGAGTTAGTTTCACCTCAAAAACACCGCGCGTCATTGGAGAAAGTTGAAGGTTGAAATTTCAAGGCTCTTGTGGCTCCAGCAGACACATGGATAGAAGACCTGATTGAACTTCTTGGTGAGGCCTCCGGGGTGACTTCAGCAGAATGTCAACAAACCAAGAACAGTCAACTTTCCCCAGCAAAGGGCAAGGTTTGGGCCAGAACCTTCTGCCACACCAGCCAGGTCCGGATGAACGGCTCGAGCCCCTGGTCGCTGTGAGGGTGCCAAGAATGCCGCAAATGGGGGCGGGAAAAGAGGAGTCTTGATGAAGAGCGCTACGCCATCTTGAGAATCATCCATTACTATGCCCAAGGGCCCTCCTTCAGAAGTCCTGATGCAAGCTGAACATAACAAAGCCACTTTCTAGAGAAAACATTCTACCCTAGCCTAACCGTGACCATTTTGTTCCATTTTTGGGGAATGTAATCTCGACGAACCTGGGGATGGGGAGATGAGCGCGCTATGTATGGTGTGAGAAGGCTACCAGGCTGCCAGTGCCTGGATCCAGCTCATCTGTGATTCGTACGGATTCGTAGGCATACGATGCCTGCCTCGTGGACATCACATCTCAAAACCTTACAGGTCCATAGTGCCTTGGAGCCTCTTAAACCAACACAGTAGGGACCAAAAATGACCACACACATCGTCAGTCAATCAGACCTTCGATTTCGAAAGTTCCAAGTGGCACAGATAAGAGATGCCGCACGCACGGAACTGAACCAGCAATACTATGCAATACTAGGTCTCAAATCACCTGTCTTGAAGTCTTCAATTCCGCCAGCGCTGACCCAGGAGACGGCGCTTTCAGCAGATCTCCACCATGCATCAGTCCCTGCGGAGGTGCGAGTCCGTATTGTTGGCCCACTGGGCATTTAGTTGTATAACAACTGTATATGTGTAGAAGTGCAGCAGTACGACATATGTTGTCCCGGTCCCTGCCATCAAACACGTGCTCCGTGCCTTAGGCGCGTGGCATCCCTGCCAGAGCTGCCAGCCAAGTCTGTGGCACACTTAGCACTTTGAGACCAGGCTGGCTGGATGAGGCCAGGCCAGGAACAAAGGTGGATCCAATCTGGCTAGGTCGATGATTTCTCCGGTTCTAAGTAGGGTGACATGAGCTGAAATTACGGCCCAAGCCTCATTTTGTTGAAGATTCCTGTTGGAGGGCTTTGACGGTTTGTTCCAGCGGCAGACTCATTTTGAGTATTCTGCTTGCATGCTTTGCTACCCTTCGCTGTCCACCAGCTCGATGGGCCCGGAGATCAGCAACTGGAATCAAGTAAACATTTGCAACCTTGGCAGGTCAGGGAGTCCAGGGCAATCCACGTTCTTGATCGTTTTCAAGTTTTCACGAAAGCGGTCTGCGTCAGCTAGCTGGAGTTACTCTTACTTCTAGCAAGTTTCTTTTTTCTGTGGGATGGAATGCCCTACCCTGGGAAGAACTCACGCGAAGTGCCCCCCCGGCGGGTTCAACTCTCCCCTGTGACCACCTCTGAATCAAGCTTTGGCTGGGAGAAAGCCACACTAGTAGCTTCTTGTTTCTAATAGCAAACATTGTTACTACTAGTAAGGCCCTTGTTCCTAGTAGCGATGCACTTGTTCCTAGTAGCTTCTTGTTTCGCCACCAACCCCCGGCCTCAAGTTGACAACCAGGTCCTCAGGTCGGTTTCTCAGCACTCCTTTGTTCCAATCGGGTCAGGGAGAGTGACCAAAAACATGGCCTTACAAACAATCATAGTTTGGGCCATGTCACTTGTCTATCACTTGTCTATATGTGGCACATGCAGTAATTTACACTAACCTCGACTGGGGTTCATTTGCTCGAGGAATGGTTGAAACAACTCGGCCCATGACAATAGTGTTCTGAATGATTGAAGTTTAAAGGTATGAAAAGTGCAAAACGAGCAACAAGCAAAAACCATAGACATACAAACAGCGCAAAACATCAGTGATGTGTCCGATGTTGTTTCATTTCGAGTGTTATTTGTGTTTGTGTCCCTTCTTTTGTCGTTGTGTTGTGTTGTGTTGTTGGTAGGTTTGTTTGTTTTGAATGCGTTGTGAGTCGTGTTCTTGTTATGTTTTGTTGTATTCATTTGTTCATTGTTCTTTGAATTGGCAGGTTTTGCAGGTCACACGCCTAGGTCTTTGTGAGTGATTCATGCGACGCGCATACGATGGACTATTGCCTTCTGCTTTCCCTGAGCAGTCACAGCCCACAGAAATTGCAGAAGGATGCATTAAATATACTAAATATACAAGAGTTTCCCGCTTTTACAACCAGTCGCTGCATTTGGTTCTTGGGCGGCAGTAGAACTTGCATGCAGCAGTACCACTGGCCACTGGTGGCCCCAAAACATCAAACACCATGTCCATTGCTTCCTCCCTGAGGTGGTGCGACAGTTTAGCGGGGTGTCTCAGGACGAAGCACTTTCAGGTCTTTGTGGACAGTGGCGAACTCATGAAACATATATTGACTAGAAGCTAGTAGTAACAGGTGCATCGCTACTAGTAACAAGAAGCACGTATATAAATTAATTCTTGTTTCCCTTCAATCAATCGATGCCCTCCAAAAAGGTCGAACCGATTGCAGATTGTTGGAAAACAACACCTGGTTGGGGTGTTGTGGTTTCCGTCCCGGATGGTAACGTCTCATATAGCGATTTGCATTTGGATTTCTCTTGCAAATGCACAGGTGAGAAAGGAGGTGTAAAGGTAAGTTGAGTTAACCTTGTCCCAAGAAAGCTGGGGTGCGGCTTTCTAGTGTAGGTGGGCAGACACTGACCGATATCATTTTGGGTTATCTCACGTGAAGACAGCACGCAGTTTTGAGTGCTGGGTTTGGGCCAACCACACCACAAGTGACGGACCACTTTACAAATGACCTGAATAGCAAACAAAGGGAACAACATTCTGAAACAGCGAGGACAAAGGAAAGGACCGCTACGCTCCCTAAAATAGTCATGGAAAGTGTACAACCACCTGTGGGGTATTCGGATTTTGTCAGAGGCAATTGCCATGCACTTAACCATCACAATGATTAGTGGGCCTTTAACATTTGTTTGATGCGAACTGAGCTCGGCAAATCAACTTCAATGTCCCTTCGCACTCTGTAGCCTGACCTTTTGGCTCGGGCTTGACCGGTGCCAGCCATGGCCTTCCGTTTGACCTATCGGCGGCAATGCCGTGTCTGGGTGGAATCAGATTTACAGTAGGGATTTTAGTGACATTTAGTGGATTTCGTGGAATTGGAGGGGGCCTTCTCCAAGAACAATGCCCAATCCACGTTGGGGGATTGTCGACCAGGACCATCAAAGAATTTCCACCTGGACCGACCATCCGAAGGGTGCAATGAAAGCCCATCAGTAGTTTGGGATATCCATTGATGACCCCGGTAGGTTGTGTTTTTGGGGGGTTCACAGTGGCTCTCAACTGGGTAGAACGTAGCGACGTAGCGCCCATGTCATGAGTGGTCGAACCAGGTTGTTTGGATGGGTTGTGTGCAGTGTCGGATCCCCTGGCTGAGCCCGAAATGATCCGAAACTGCACTAAGGCAAACTAAGGCCAGGACCAGTGACTACGAGCTTGATACAACATAGCTTGGCAAGATTAGGCAGGCTAATTGCCAAACATCCCAGGTTTAGCTTCTTCAATCAACTTCGACACGACATGAGATGTGTCAGTGTCAAACGTGCAATCGGAACTGGGGGCCTCGACTCTTTCAGGAGCATCTTTGATCCACCCAGCTCTGTTGGGGAGACTCCATCTTCGTCCACCTGTGAGGGTTCCACAGCCTTTGAGATCCCCATCTTTGGTTCGTCCAACAATAGTGACTTGGACCCATCTTCCTGTGAGTATCACATCTTCCTTTGAGATCTCCATCTTCCAAGAGTTCTTGGCTTTGTCGATACTCTTCGCCAACATCGATGTGCTCCCAAGTGGTCTTCTGCCGCATCTCATGGAGCCCCTCGGCTTCCGGGCAGGCGGCACGGCCCGAGACCCGAGGCTACAACACCAAGTCCAACAAGCAGCGGGTGGTGAAGACTCCGGGCGGCCGGGCCGTGTTTCAGGTGGTGAAGAAGAAGGCGAAAGGCCCCATTTGTTCCTTGGTTGAGATATCTTGAGCATGAGACCTCCGATGAGCTGCGAGTCCTGACACCACTCATTCTTCAGGCGGTGACTGCGGCAAGGCCTTGATCGGCCTCCCTCGCTTGCGGCCCATCGAGTACGCTCGACTGAAGAAACGTGAGAAGCGTGTGAACCGCGCGTACGGTGGCTCCCGTTGCGCTGGCTGTGTGCGCTCACGCAGCGGCCTCAGCACCGGTTGGATCGGAGAGTTCTGTTGAAGTCAAACAACTTGGAATCAATGCCGAGTAGCCACCCACAAGAGGTCAGGCCTGGGTGAGAGATCTCCCCCAAGCAACACAATCGCAGCGGACAACTGGGTCTTCATCAATGGGGCAAGACTGCGGGGCAAAAGCACATGAAGCCGTAGAAGCAAAGATTTGAAATCTGATATTGAACAGGACCATGTCCAATGATCATCCTTCAAACTTGAGAAGCCACGGATGCTCACCTCCCCCCACCCTGTTGCACGACAAGGTGGATTGAATGTGGTTCGGCAATGTTCAATATGTCGCAACCTTTTACTGTGTGATACTGTATGTATATACATATGCATGTATACATGTTTTAAAACACGCAGATCCCTGATGCCAATTCCCTTACGACATGGGATACGTCAAGGCTTTAATATTGTGTTTTTAGATGTTTTTAGTATGGTGCAATTGCAATGGTGCATTTTTGTGACCTCAAGCACTTGCATTTTGTAGAGCCATTTTTTTGGAGGCCAAGATTCAACATACTGTAGAAATTGCGGAAGGTCACTCTATAGTATTGTTCATTTTTGACATATGACATGTGAAGGTTGTGGAGTTGCATTTTGTAGATAACATAACGTTGCTTGCAAGCGGCCATTTTGCAAAACGAATCAATCATATATGAACATGTTACTTGGTTATATTAAAACAAGATGGAACCCACGAACCCGAATGCAAACACGTACTCGAAAACAAACACCCAAACAATTTTTGACACTCTTGTAGCTGTAGGAGACACTTTTGTGGGACACTCTTGTAGGACACATTCTTTTCAGAAACCTTTGTGGGACACTCTTGGGCACCCTTGTGGGACACCTTGTATGACACTCACTCTTGTGGGACACTCTTGTAGGACGTAGGACACTCTTGCGAAGCAGTCTTGTAGGACACTCTTGTGGGACACTCTTGTGTGTCACTCTTGTGCGACACTCTTGTAGGACACTCTTGTTGGACACTCTAGGGTACTCTTGCGAAACAGTCTTGTAGGACACTCCTGTGGGACACTGTTGTATGTCACTCTTGTGGGACACTCTCGCAGGACACTCTTGTGGGACACTCTTGTGGGACACTCTTGCAGGACACTCTTGTGGGACACTCTTGTCGGACAGTTTTGTGGTCACTCGTGCAGGACACTCTTGTAGGAAACTCTCGTGGGACACTCGGGGCACTCTTGTGGGACACTCTTGTTTGTCACTCTTGTAGGCCACTCTTGCGAAACACACTTGTAGGACTCGTGTTGGACACTCTTGTCTGTCGCTCTTGTGAGACACTCTCGTAGGACACTCTTGTGGGACACTCTTGTTGGGCACTCTTGTAGGACCTGAGACACTCTTGTAGGACATTCTTGTGGGACACTCTTTTTTGCCACTCTTGTGGAGCACTCTTGTTGGACATTCTTGGGGCACTCTTACAGGACACTCTGGGGCACTGTTGTAGGACACTCTTGTAGGATATTCTTGTGGGACACACTTGCGGGACACTCTTGTGGGAAACTCTTGTTTGTCACTCTTGTGGGACACCCTGGTAGGACATTCTTGCGAAACAGTCTTGTAGGACACTCTTGTATGTCACTCTTGCGGGACACTCTCGTAGGACACTCTTGTGGGGCACTCTTGTGGCTCTTGTAGGACTCTCTTGTGGGATGCTCTTATATTATGACGCTCTTGTGGGACGCTCTTGCGGAACACTCTTGTAGGACAATCATGTGGGACATCCTTGCAGGACACTCTTGTGGGACACTCTTGTAGGACACTTTTGTGGGGCACTCTTGTAGGACACTCTTGTCGGACATTCTTGTGGGACACTCTTGCGGGACAATGATGGGACACTCTTGTTTGTCACTCTTGTATGACACTCACTCGTCACTCTTGCGGGACACTCTTGTGGGACACTCTTCTAAGGCACTCTTGTCGAGCACTCTTGCGGAGCACTCTTCTAAAACTCTTGGGGCCACTCTTTTGGGACACTCTTGTATGGCATTCTTGTGGGACACACACTCTTGTGGGACATTCTTGTAGGACACTCTTGTGGGGACTCTTGTAGGACACTCTGGCGCACTCTTGTAGGACACTCAAAGTCAACCGTCACGTCTCCAGACCGAGCGTTTCGTGCGAGACGTCCTCCAAAAAGTCACATGTCAAGTCTACAAAACGAGCGTTTCGTACGAGACGTCCTCAAAAACTCTCGCGTCAAGTCACCAAAACGAGTGTTTCGCGCGAGACGTCCTCCAAAAGTCACGCGTCGACTTCCTCAAAAACTCCCTCCAAACAACACCCGCTCACACGCCAATCCCAATGTCACAGGGACATTCACCTCCACCGCAACTCGCAACCTCACGATTCCCTGCACCTGCCACGGAAATTTGCACATCCACACGTCTAACACGCACAAAATACTGCGCCTGCGACATGCGGCCTCCACCACACCTCGCAACCTCACAATTCCCCGCGCCTGCCACGACAATCGCACTTCCACACCTCAAAGCCCGCACAAAGTACTGCGCCTGCCGCGAAAAGTGACAATATATCATATCATGTGAGATTCAACAAAATTTACACCACACCACACGTTTGGAATGATTTCGACACGTTCTGACAACACTCCCATCCACCAAAATCGCCATTTCGGCTGAGACCTTGCGACGCAACACCCTGAAACGCAAATCCCAATGTCACAGCCACATCCAACACACCAAAAACACCGCCCTCCAAAAGCCAATCCCAATCTGACTACGTAGAAAACTGCGGATCTCACTAAACGCTGCGCCTGCGCAGTGAAATGGTTCTCCACACTTCAACATCTTACGTTTCCACCAGTTTCCTCCCTATTTCACACGAATCTGACACGTCATGCTTCCATCCAAATCCATCTCCAAAGCTTCGCCCAATGTGGACAAATTAGCAACGACACGACGACGAGTCAGACCCCGCGAGGCGAACACAGGTCCGACCCCCAGACCCCCAACTATAAACGGGAGCCCTTCGCTACGCATTCGGGAAGAAATATAGAGCCAGATAGGACTATTTATGAATTTTTTGCACAGTTATGTAAGCCGGATTTCTACATTTTCTACAAGGCACTGCTTCCCAGTTTTTGTTGTTTATATATGTGCCATTGGGCAGGTGTAGCAGGTCGCGCAAGAACCTACAAAAACCGGAGGTTTGAACACCTTACCCCGATAACCTGGGCACTTGCTGAGGCATTGTGAGGGCCTTCTTGATTGAGGAGCAGAAGTGTGTGAAGCAGGTCATTGCGGAGAAGATATCCCAGCAGAAGATGGCCACCGAGGGTGGCAAGAAACCGTGGCTGGACGAATTGGCTGTTCGCTTCTCTTTTGTCCATCTGCCCTTCAAACAACCACCAAGAGCGCGGTCGAGGGTTTGGTGTCACGTAGCATTGCACAACAAACAAAAGCACGCTTGTATCAAGAACAAAGGAACATGCACCTTTTGATCCGTTCTTCTAAAGGCAGCGCAGCCCTCTTCCAGCGGTGCCCGTCTTCAGTGCAAGTTTTCTGTCCTCTTCCTTCGCATTCTTCACTGCAGCAACCTCCAGCATGCACGCCTTCATTTATACCATCAGTTTCCACCTTTGCTTTGACCCTTGTTCTTCCCTTGGACTCGCATTCATCTTGCTTTTCTTTTCACAGCTGGAACTCTTGCCCCATCTACAAACCTTCAAGTGGAGACCTGAGACGTGTTTTCACCCCGTTCGTCCAAAATTTTGTTTCACACAGCCTTTTTTCAAGAACTAAGAACTTGTTCATACTGAGCTTAGTTACGAAGCAAAACTTGGGGGCACTCCACCCTCATGTGCAAAGCTGGTTGTGTTGACTGGTTCTTCCACACTTCTTTGGCAGATTGATTCGCTGGCTTAGCAACCCACTGCTGTATTGGTTCCAAGCCGTTGTTTTCCCTTGGGCAGTCACATTATCCTGCAAGACCTTTGCTGCTTGAATTTCATCATCATGCTCCTCCGCAATGTTCTTATACTTTCTCCTTCTGGGAGGCTTGGCCAAACTGCGCCAAGTTTTTGACAGTGAACTTTGCTTTTTGCTTGGGGCTTGCATTTCTAAAGGTCTCCAGGCTTTCATTGGTGCCTTTGTCAAGGCTGCCTTTGATTTTGCCTTCCCCTTGGCCTTTTTCAAGGCCTGCTGTGTCAAGGCACTACTTGGCCTTTTCATTGCTACAAACTTGGCGGCCACACCTTAGGAACATTTGAGCAAAGAGGCTGCATGGAATGCTGAGGGGTGATGAAAAAACTATGGTGTTAATCGCCTTTCATTTCCCTTCATCGCCCTTCGTGCTTGCACCCGAGCACCTTGTGACGAGTTGCCACCAAACCCCAGCCCAAGCAAGTTTTGCCTCTCAGTGGTTTGCAGTTGTGCCACTGCTGCCGCCATTGTGCAGTTGTGCTTGTGCAAACAACAAGCTGATCAGCCCGCATCTTGTCATGAAGGCACACACACACACATATATATATATATATATGTATATAGTATATTATAGTATAATGATCTACCTATCTATCTATATATTATATATATATTCTTCTCGGACAGGAATGAAACACCAAACTTTCTGCGGTCAAACAACATGTGTTCAACAACATGTTTAACAATTCTAGGCTATATATCAGAGCCTCAATTGATTTACCGATGGGTTTTTCTTTGTATGGGCCAAATCGCATACTTTCTTCATAACCCAGTCCAGCCAGCGCATTTGTGTTCCAATCTTTGGTTGCACACTAAAGTCTAAACCATAAGGTACACAAACCAATTGAACTCCAGCTAGTGTAGGGCACGCTGCTTTGTTGCAGTTTCCAACAACATTTTTTCTATATACACACCGTTTATCATGTTTACAATCATTTATGATTTATGAGTCTAGTGTAATTCACATTGGCACACACACGCACACTGTGCGTGATGCCAGCTTCATGGCCAAGTGTCATTCAACTCGTTCTGTTTACCCAAAATGTTTTCAGATTCATTAGATAAAACACCAGAATTCATCAGATATGTTCCTTTGATTTTAGATGCCCTCGTTCTGATCCTCCATTCAGAAGTTCTTTGTTGCTCTGAGACTTCACTGGGTCGCTGCGTGGAAAGTTGACACTGAGGAAGAAGAAATGAATAGATTTGAAAGGTGCTTTGGGAGATCAGGCGGTTTGACAACGGCGCAAAGGCATGCGAAGGCTGTGGCTAGAGGATGTACAAAAAGGGCCGACACCTGAGAGCTGGGTCGGGTGATCCTTGTCGTTTGGGGGTGTGAGATGTCATTTACATCCGCTTACTATGAAGTCACATATCGTCACGTGACGCGGACTTATATCTGGAGAATGATGACTCTGTGTGTTCCTTCTTGGTGATCAACTCACACAGCACTGGAAGGGTTGCATTTCACACTGTGATAGCTGGGACTGGACGATTTGTACCAGCTTCTTCTTTCGGGCACTGTTGGATCCCACACCTAGCAAAGGACCTTGCACTCAGGGGCCAGGGAGGAGAACCTCCCGAAGTCCAGACATGAGGCACCTACCAAAGAGTGGATAACAGTCTCCAGGGGTCTCCAGAGTGAATGCACAAGTTTGATGACCCTGGCAATTTTTTTGTATGGATAAGAAGGCCAAACAAGCTGCTGGATGAGGCATGCCAAGGTTTTACTTACAGTCCAAGGTTTTACTGTATGCCAACTGGCCTGCGCCGGTGAGAACCTTCACCGGTTCGTTCCCAACACACGGAGGTTCACCGGTTCCCAATAGAGTTTGTGAAGCTCCGTGCCGCGCTAAATGGGTACCCAACCGAAAATCTGACAAAGAGTCGTAGGATATGTGGAATCTATTTGTTGGTTTTACAACAATACTGTACCATGGTACGATGGTACGGTACCCTATGTGTATATGTTCCTATTCTATGTAGCTCCATGGTACCCTGAAGAGACACACTGACTCTACAGGTCTTCGGGTTGGTGCCTCCAAGCCCAAGGCCCGGAATACTTGGAATCTCGGAAGAATGCCATTGCGGCCTACTTGACGCTGTGGCAGCAGGGTTGAACCGCGGCCAGATCACAAAGTAGACAAGATCATGGTTGCCATGTATTTCATCCCAGGATTCGAGACAGATGTGAAAATAGAGGAACTCTGTAGGAGGAACCCCGATTTGTAGTGGGTTGTGCGCGTCAAGTTGAAAGATTCTACTAAGTGTCGGAGGCCTGCACGATTGCAGTGGGACCTAGGGGAGCCGCAGTGGGCCTGCAGGGCTTCCAGTTAGATTCAACGTCCATTCCAACATCCGGGGCCAAAACCATCGCCGCTGGTTGCGCTGACTATGTTCTGGATTCTGGAGGTAGGCTCCGAAGCAGCTTCCAGCGTGAAACCTCACTCTTCGGTCCAAATCCTTCCCAACCCCCAGCAGCAGTACTATGCAAAAGCGATGCAGAAACCGGCCAATGTGATCCAGCTGGTTTGGTGAAGATCCTGTTGTACCAGTTTCCTCTGTGATCCAATTGGTAAAAGGGCAAATGGTTTGGTGAATCATGGCATGATGGTCAAATTGTCAATGTGATCCTATTTGTGAAGAATTGGGAGGGGTGGAACGCTAGTTTAGAGAGCAGATCTTCGTACTCAGCGCCGATTGAGACAGCCAGGGGCAGAGACGGAGAGAGATGACACAGAAGAGAAAGACAAGACGAGAGAGGAGAGAAGAGGGGTCCCCTACTTGCTGACCTGCCCAGGAAAGAGTCCAGCGCTCAGGAAGGGCTTCCAGAAGTGTCCACCTGTGGGCTAACCGCCCCACGCGGCGCGCGGTTTGCTTGATGTGGCTTCGTGAGTGTCCCAGTCCTACTGGGACTCACGCAGATCCACTTGGAAGATGCACAGGCAACTGCTGACTGCTAATCACTGGGCAGGGGATAGCCCCCAGTTTGATCATTTGAGTACATGTTTGCATGCATCCATTCAAGTAGATGAGGTGCGCCTGCAGGGCGTCTTAAGACATTGTACCAGCATCCTTTCGGCTTGGAATGAGACGATTGTTCATGCTGCACACCTAGTGGATCATGATGTTTATGTCCACCGGATATAGAAACAGAAACAAGTCCCCAAACACACATTATGTCAATGGGCCCTGTTTGTGATAGCTCTACTGACGCATGTGAACTCCATCTCTTGCAGGTCTTTCCGCCCCGAACACCAACCGTGAGATGCCCAGGTTGGCTGCTAGAAGGGACATCCTCAACTGCTTGGAAGCGCAGGACTTCTTCGGCATGTGTCGCCCGCAGGTCTTACTCCGCACCAGTCTAGATGCCTCTACCGTCACGGCGCAGGGCTGGGAAGGGGAAGGTGTGCTTTGGCTTCATGGCTTTTTTGGTGCTTTTCAGGGTTTCTGCTTGGGGGTAAGTACAGTATAACGACCGTTTCGAGTTGCAAGGGTTTGCAGGTTCCATATAGCAGCATTTTCTCACACTCCTCCGGAACCTGCGGAAACACCAAGCACATCCGAGCACACAAGTGCACCGTGGCTTTTTCACGTTGTCATAGCAGCGGATGACACAGATAACTTTGGGACAGCGTGGGGGTGTTTCAAACGTTTCAATATTCAATACTCCCCCTGGAATTAACATGGAAGTGGAAAACCACCTGTTTGTAGTGGAAAATGGTCTTCCAAGGGGCCATTCTCCACTTCCATGTTAGTTCCAGGGAGTGTAATCTATTCAATAATCCTCCATGGATATCAGCAAGGTTCTGCAAGCGATCCACTTTGATGACTTCACCACCAATCTGCTTGGCTTGTCAACCGACGTAGTGTTGCCATTCTGCCAGGTCTGAAAGAGATCCCGGCCTGCGAACGTGGCGAGCCGAGTGGGTTTCTTTCAGTCCTTTTTCCAGGAGCTCATGTTGGGAACATCACCTTCATGAGGACACGCTGGGGCTGAAGGGGCATCGTTGGGCCGGGTTTCTTTGGGCTTAAGAAGATGATCCATGGGTTTCAGGTGAGCACTCTTCATCATGATTTGATTCAAGTTCCTTTCACGCTGCTTTTACGGTTTATAGATGTCCCGGAGTCCTTGCTATTGCATATACGTGCCTACAGTATCCTACAGTATCCGCTCCCACTGACAGAGGCCGTGTCATGACCGGGGGCGGTGCCTTTTGGCCTTTGAGGCGAAGTCTGAGAGAACCGTTCCATGCAGCGGAGGTGCTCCGTTCCATGGGCTGCGGAAGAGAGCATGTCAGGGTTTTCCTGAAGTTGAGCATGTGTTTCCTTCGTGGGTCCATGGTGAGACTGGGGTAAATGGAGATTGCAAGCTGCCCAATGTAGTCTTGCGCATTGCCAAGAACCAGTGGGCCCGATCAGTTTAGATGATTTTAGATGTTGCCTGAAGTGCATACGATTTTGTAGCACAAGGCACAAGGTGTGTAGAGGCAGACGTGTTGTTTTCACTGTTTTTGCTGGAACGTCCAGGGGGAAGTTTCACTTGAGCACCGCGGTGTGGGTCATTACATGTCAAGACCTGAGCACCCGAGAACATCGGACCGGTCATCATCTCTATAGGGATAGAAAAGTCTTTTGTTCTGTTTTCAACATTGAAAGAAGTCAACATAGCAGTCGGTGCCAAAAGTAGAAGTCAAAAAAACGTCAAATCAGAAAGTGTCAGAAAGAAAAAAATAAGAAGTCAAACAAAAAGTCAATTGGCACAGATCTGACTTTTGTTTTGCCTTTTGTCCAACTTCTATTTTTGACATGTTTTCTAATTTTGACTTTATGACGTGTTTCTTTTTCTCCGACGTGTATGATCTTTTTTGACTTTTTTGAGTTGTGTTCTTTTTTTTGGTGTAAATTGTTACGAAATGTTTTTTGCTTGTTTTATTCAACCTGTTTTTTTTTGACTTTTTTGGTGACTTTTTCGAGTTGTTTTCCAAGATTGACTTTTTCTTGATGGTTTTCCGACCCTTTTTTGACTTTTCCAATTGACTCGTTTTTTGACTTTGAGTTGTTTCGATTTCTTTGAATCAAGGGATCCTGGCCTTGCCATATGAGAATCTTTTAACTCTACGCCTCCACTCTTGGAGGATGCACAGACACGAGAGCTGAACAATCAAGGTCTGTTGGTGGTTGTGTTGTGCCATACTCCGGATGAACATCCAGTCCACAAGCTACACGAAACCACTGAAGCACCTGCACTTGGTTGGAGGGGTGTCATCTACTATGGACGTTGGCTGCGTTTTTGCGGAGTGCTGCTTCACCAATCCAGTCAGTCATCCAGTCGGTCTGCCTTGCAGGTCCAAGAGTGCAACTTCGGCATCAACAGCTTTGACACACCGGCGACGTTTTGGGGTGGATGGCCTGGATGGCAACTCTGCCCACAAGGATGAAGGAAGAGTGCACTAAATATTTAACGAAACCAAACTATACTGGGTAACTGGGTTTTATGCTCAAAATGCCGCATTACCGTATTCATCTATAAGTTATATAACTTACCCCCCCTCTCTGCAACAAACATGAAGGCTGACCAGTACCAGGACCGCCTTGTAATAGAGCTATACTTCAGGCAGACAAAAGTTTACGCTTGTTAGCCTTCTTACAAAACACTCTGAGGTCAGCGGCGGATCGAATTAACAAGTCCAATTTTCGTGGCAGGTGTGGGACGGTCAATTATCACACCGTTTTAAATCCATAATAATAAAAGGCTTTCCGGGGTGACAAATGACCGCCCACACCTTCCCTTGTCTCATGGTGTAGGATTCTAGGGGGATAGGGTTGTCATGAGTTTCAACATCAAGAAGCGCAACTTTCTTCTGGCCAGTGTATAAATGGTCGAAACCAGGGCTGATGCCATCCACTTCCATGATTGTTTCAGGGAGTGTTTAGCATTTTCGACGAGTCGTTTGGGGGAGATATTCCTCAAGTCTCAAAGATGATCTTCCTTAACCTGGCGCCAGGTCCATGATGCCACACGAGGTGCGAAGAATCGCATTGGGATCGCCCTGATGATATGCCAATCGCTGCCAAGTCAAGATTGTTCAGGTGCTGAGAAGTACTCAAATGCCAGGTGCTAGCTATTTTGCTTCTGGCACATCGCAATTCAATGTGTCTTAGCATTACCATCGAGCAGTCCCATGGAGGTAGATTGGGGAGCTCCTTAAGTCCAAATTGCCTCCGGTGTTGAAGCTCCCAAACAGCACTTGCAAACTACAAATGAAGGCGGATCCCCGTCAAATGACTCAAGAGCTTAGGGATTTCTTCACATGTTCTTCAAACGGGACCTTGCTCCAGCCATCAGCACCAGGCTTGCTTTTGCTAGGGGTTTGGGCCTCGGTATCCTTG